GGCTTTGTGGACTATACTGTCTCTGTCACAACTACTCAACGCTGCCACTGTAGTGCAAAAACAGCCACAGACAATACGTAAACAAATGAGCTTGGCTGTGTTCCAATAAAACTTTATTTACAAAATCAGGCAACCATCAGCAGTTTGCCAAACTTGAACTATAGTATAAAAGGAAAGTCACTACAGGACCCTAGGAATGACTGTGCCAGACTATGGTCCAGAGAAGATCCCAGCTTTTGATCAGAGCACCTCAGACCGACAAGCCCTGATGATAACACACCCGTCCTGTGGTGTCTCTATGGAGTAATCTCTATGGAGGAGCCTAGCTCTGCTGCAGCAGAGTCTCCCTAACCTTAGAAATATTTGATTTGCAATGGACTCAACCAAAGATCTGTAGTGTCCAAAAGGGAAAAGCAGACAAGAACCCTCTGTTGAAACCTCTTATTTCAGGAGACAGTATGATGGGCCCTGGCCAGGGAGCATCCACTGGGAGGAGGGGGCGACAAGGAAGCTACGTGCCTTGTGCCTCGAAGAGGGAGCTGACCTGGACTCAGCCAGAGTTCATTCACCCTTCTTGTCTGTGAATGGTGGCTAATGGCTTAACTCCTTCCAGTCCTCGAATGTCCCTGTCCTACTGCCTCAGGAGACTGACCGCAGGAGACTGAAAGGGTCCTTGATATAAAATATCCCATCTCCTCTTTTACCTATCTCAACCTGACTCCTACTCTCTTCTACAGAGGCCTCCCCCAGGAAGTAGTCAGATGCCATTCGCACACACATACACATTTGTTCACATATGCCCACAGGTACACATATTCACATGAATACATAGAAGCTCCCTTAACTATACATACATACAGATACACAGGAAAGCATACACACACGTTCCAACAATTGGGACATTACACTAATGTAAAGTAATGGCATTACATTAAATGATGGCATACCATGCAGGTAATACAAATTGTTTTTAAAAATAAAGTAATGACATGGGGAAACACTCATGATAAATGCAAAAGAGTGGCAAAAATGTATATACAACATCATCCCAAATCTTCTTTTTATGTACACACACACACACACACACACACACACACACACACACACATGCACAGTGTGACATGGTCTGGAAGGAAGTAAACCAAAGTGTTAACAGTGGTTTTCTCTGGGTGTTGGGATTACATGCAATTTATAAAAATACTTTAAAAACACACACACACACACATAATAACAATCTATTATAGAAAAAAATATAGGTGAGTACAAAGAAAAAATAAAAATTCCCAATTACAGATGAGTTTTTTTAAGATTACACATTTTGGTATTTAAAAAGAATTTTATAATGAGAATGTTCTGCTTTTAGAAAATGAGGTTATTTTATAAAGAACTCATATTGAGGGACTTCCCTGGTGGTGCAGTGGATAAGAGTCCACACTCCCAATGCAGGGGGCCTGGGTTTGATCCCTGGTCAGGAAACTAGATCCCACATGCATGCTGCAACTAAGAGTTCACATGCCACAACTAAGGAGCTGGCGAGCTGCAACTAAGGAGCCCGGGAGCCACAACTAAGGAGCCCACGTGTTGCAACTAAGACCTGGTGCAACCAAATTTAAAAAAACACACACATATTGAAAAGCATAATTCTTTTTCTTTAAATAAAAAAATTTTTTTAATTTATTTACTTATTTATTTGGCCGCTCCAGGTCTCAGTTGTAGTATATGGGCTCTTAGTTGCAGTATGTGGGATCTAGTTCCCTGACCAGGGATCGAACCCGTACCCCTTGCATTCGGAGCGCAGAGTCTTAGCCACTGGACCACCAGGGAAGTCCCTGAAAAGCATAATTCTATCTATTTAGCAAACACACATAAATAGTAGTTATGTTGCAGGCACTAATCTAAGTGGTTTACAATAATTAATTTGATTAATCTTCATAAGACCCCCTAAGAGGAGTGTACAATTATCGTTCCGTATTTTTACCAATGACATACAGATGTATAGAGATAAGATTATTTGCCCAAAGTCACAGAACTAGCAAGTGGTCTAGGTAAGTTTTGAATGGAGGCAGTCAGGCTCCAGAACCTGCACACCTGACCAGATACGGTCTCTACGTAGCCGCAGCTAAGTAACAGATGAGTTGTTGGTGGCAGATGGTGTGGGGAAGCTACCCAGGCAACCAGAGAATGCCAGTTAGTGACTTTTCCCACTTAGGTGTCAATACATAAGAAGGAGTATCTCATATTAGCCTAGATTTCCTTTATTACAAAAAATAGCTCCTGCCATATTCACTGCGCTATTCTACGTGTGGGAATGGTGGGTGACACACAGCAAGAAAAGCAAACGGCCCCTTCTCAGAAGCCTGCATCGTGTGTGTGTGTCAGCATCTGCCCCCAGCTGCACGTCTCTCCTTGTTGAGGAAAATCTGTCCAGTGACCCTCACTTCTCTACTGGGACCAGGCACAATCTAATTAAATAAAAATCCTCAAATATGTTTTAGGACTTTTCTGTGGCTGGTAGAGGAGATTGTCACGGAAAGACTGCTTCAGTAAGTTCTCAGTCCCAGATGCAGCCCAGATGTGGCAGATGCTCCATGAATATTGATGAGCTAAATGGAGGAGGTGGAGAAGTCTGCAGCTGTCCCTCAGAACGGGGACACAAACCAGACACCCAGATGTAGGAAGGCAGAGAACTGAGCATGACACAGGGTCTTGCTAATGACTTGCAAGTATCTGTGGCAATCAGACATGTGCATTGGGCAACTGGATTCTCTTTCTGCAGGATAGCTGCCCCTGGACTTCAAGTTCTCACTGACATGATTACCTACTGTGCTTTACTGTTTTGGGGACAGGGGACCTAGGTTTTCTCTAGCCTGGCAGGAAGGGGAAGAAAAGGGCTGCTAAGCCTTTATTTTCTGGTACGAGGGAGGAGCACCCAGTTCTGCAGGCAGAGCTGCTTTGGGCAGATGTTTTCCATTGTTCCTAAGAGGCCATGCAGTTCACTCCCTGCATGAAGTGGGGTGGAACTGAGTAAGACACAAAGGGGGCAGACTGGGTATGATAGCCTTCTTCTTCTTTTTTTTAAATTTTTATTGGAGTATAGTTGATTTACACTATTGTGTTAAGTTTCTTCTGTACAGCAAAGTGAATCAGTTATACATATACACATATCCACTCTTTTTTAGATTCTTTTCCCGTATGGGTCATTACAAAGTACTGAGTAGAATTCCCTGTGCTATATACAGTAGGTCCTTATTAGTTATCTATTTTATATATACTAGTGTGTATATGTCAATCCTAACCTCCCAATTTATCCCTACTCCCCCACCTTTCCCCCTGGTAACCATAAAATTATTTTCTACATCCGTGACTCTATTTGTTTTGTAAATAAGTTCATTTGTTCCATTTTTTTTAGATTCCACATAAAAGTGATATCATATGATATTTGTCTTTCTCTGTCTGACTTATTTCCCTCAGTACGACAATCTCTAGGTGCATCCATGTCGCTGCAAATGGCATTATTTTGTTCCTTTTTATGGCTGAGTAATATTCCATTGTATATATGTGCCACATCTTCCTTATCCATTCTTCTGTCGATGGACATTTAGGTTGCTCCCATGTCCTGGCTACTGTAAATAGCAGTGCCATGCGTAGTGGGGTGCATGCATCTTTTCAAATTATGGTTTTCTCCAGGTATATTCCCAGGAGTGGGGTTGCTGGATCATATGATAGCTTTATTTTTAGTTTTTTAAGGAACCACCGTACTGTTTTCCACAATGGTTGTAACAATTTACATTCCCACCAACAGTGTATAGGAGGGTTCCCTTTTCTCCATACCCTCTTCAGCATTTATTGTTTGTAGACATTTCTCCAAAGAAGACCTACAGATGGCCAAGCGGCACATGAAAAGATGCTCAACATCACTAATTATTAGAGAAATGCAAATCAAAACTACAATGAGGTATCACCTCACGCCAGTCAGAATGGACATCATCGAAAAGTCTACAGACAGCCTTCTTCTTCTAAGCCAGACTTATCCACTGTGGGAAATGAAGGATTCCCTAAATGTTGAAGACATCCACATTCTAATGCAAATATAAACAACACATTTCAAAGGCAAGTAGAAACTATTTGCTAATTATTGGTTGTCATGGATTATTCATGATGACACTCTTTTCCATAGGAGGAGAAAGCAGCAGTTAATTGGTTTTGGCACGTATTGCAGCAATCAACTTGGGTGGGTAAGATCCACCCTTCATGAAAGGTTCTACCTTCCACCCTCTTGAAGAAGATTCCCTTTGTGGCTATCATGTCTCATGTGTATACCCCCCGCCCGCCAGCAAATCCTGACCTCGAGTGGAGCCCAGAGAGGAAGATGGCTTCTTTTCTTAGGCTGGAAACAGATCCTTTCAATGGGATTTAAACGGACACTTGCCGCCTGGATTTGGTCTTCCTTTATTTAATTTCTTCAACAACTAAACCACTGTATAACAACTACTAATGGAAGACACGAAGAAACCAAATATATACTTCCTGACCTTGAAGAATTTACAATCTAGTTGGGGAGATGTTTTAAAGATATTTTACGTGACCTAAATCAGAATTCAAATCATCAAAGTAAGAGATATCATAAGACAGTATATACAGTTTGGTGTGAAATGAATGCTTAGCCCCCTGAGTGTTACAGGCAAGCACAGGGGGAACAAGTCCCAGGGACTGGGATGACCTGGAACCTTCCTGAAGGAGGCATGATTGAACTGGGCCTTAAAGGATGGGAAGGGAGAGGTCCAGGCAAGAGCCAAGGGCAGAGGTAGAAATGACCTAGCACAGGGGTGGGCAAATTACGGCCTATGGGCCACATCTGGCCCGCCACCTGTTTTTGTACAGGCCATGAACCAAGAATATTTTCACTTTTAAATGGCTAAAAAATATATATATATTTCATGACACATGAAAATTATATAAAATCTAACTTCAGTGTCCATAAATAAAGCACAGCTTCACTTACTGGTTTGCATATAGTCTGTGGCTGCTCTGCACCGCAATGGCAGCGCTGAGCAGTTACAACAGAGATCATATATCATCATATATAACCAGATCTCTGGTTCTTTAGAGAAAAAGTTTGCTGATCCTGGGGCTACAATATCAGAGGGGCAGTTAGGAGGCTTTGGCTGGAGAGAAGATTTTGTACATAGGAACTGCGGGAAATGGTAACCAGGGATCAATTATGAAGGAAGTTTAATGCTATGCTAAAGAATATGAATTCATACTAATCTGTTCTCTGTTCCTACAGTTTTGTCCTTTCAAAAATATTACATAAACGGAATCATGTAGCATGTAACTCTATGGGAGTGGCTTTTTTCACTTGCCATCATTCTCTGGAGATTTATCCAGGTTGTTGTATACATCAATAGCTTATTCCTTTTTATTGATGAATAGTATTCCATCGTATGAATGTACTATACTATATGGAACTGTTCACCCACTGAAAGATATTAGGGTTGTTTCCAGTTGGGACCATTATAAATAAAACTACATATGCAAAAAAAAAATATGAACTCAGTTCTGTAGGCAATGTGTTGAAGTTATCATGTATGTGAATACAGTAATATTATCTGTATGCACATAGTACAAAACTGCAAAAGGTTCAAAAAGATATTCTGTGAAAATGTCAGTCTTCTTTCCTGACCTCCAGATACTCAGACACTCAGACAACTCCACAGAGGTACCCACTTACTCATTCTTAGGGACCCTTACAGAGATATTCTTGTACATTCACAAACATATATGAGTTTGTTTTATGTCAGGACATTCTTCTTTATAGCTGTATAACATGGATGTACTATCTTATTTACTCAGCTGGGGAGAATTCTGACCTAGAAGCTAAAATGACACTTTAGAAAGCCTTGTTGAGCAGAGGGGTTCCAAGAGAACTAGAGGCAGGAAGAGGAGGCAGGCTGCCGATGTGTAAATCCAGGAGCCTGGCAGTGAGGGTGGCCTGGCATTCCAGTGTAACCCAGAACTCCAGGCTGCTCAAGGCCGTGGTGCTGGGGACCCCTCTCCCCCACTGCTCCTCTGGGGGCTCATACCTTGGTGGGTGTGTCAGGGATGGAAGAGGTGGGAGAACCTGGAAAATTCAAGACACACTTCTTCCCGAGGCATCGACCATGTAACTCAACGTCCTCATAAGGATTTTCCTTCATTGGTGGATCTGCAGTCAAAGGCAACGGATTAGAAACTGGGAACACTAAGGAAGTTCTCCTTATCAGCTCGCGACCCAACACCTTATCAGGTCTCTCCTTGTGGGGATGTCTGTTGTCTTACTATCCATTTAGCCTTCCTCTTGGTAACAGACCTTGGTTTTCACTGGGATAACTCCCTGACTCCCCATTCTTAGAAATGTGAGATTAACTCCACTCCCAGTTTCAGGGTTTAAGCCAATCTGAGTATCCCGAATCCCTGCCTCAGTGACCAGCTCTGGGAAGGGCTCATATTCCAAGCCTAAGCCAATTGCTGCATGGCATTCCTGGGCTCTGAAGGTGAACAAGGGACCTAAATCAGTCTCATCAGAGTGAACCTCAGGATGTTTGCTGGGACTTGCAGGACACAGGCTTTCCTTTCTCGCTGCAAGGCACAGATTCAGGGGAGCCAACGGCAGTCATCATGGGGATCGTGGGAAACCTGCTGAGAATGGAGCTAACATGAGAGATAAGAAATGAGGAAGAAAAAGCCAGTTCTGGTCACATGAGCCAACAAACTCCCTTCGTTGTTTCAGCTGGGTTTTCTGTTCCTTGTAACTGAAAGCTTCTCTGTCAGGTACACACTGCTAAGAGAAGTCTAGATCTCATACCCACTTTGGATTTGGGAAGCCTACTGCTTTAGCAGGAACCCATCTCTGGCAGCTTGGACACAGCAATTCAAATAGCTCGGCTTAGTGTACGCCCTTCCTTAAGTCTCATGTTTCCTCCTACCATGGAGTTTCTTCTAGTGTTGATGACTGCATGCATGTAAGTACATGTATATGTGCCTGCTCTGCCCCTTGCATAGGGACACAGAAGGGTTTCTTCCTCAGCTCATTTCTCCCCCACTGCCGCCCTCAACATATGCAGACACGGTCTGGGTTTACACCTTACTGAAACTGTGGTCCTCCCTGGAGATTATTTAACTCACCAAACCTAAATGCACAAAAGCTCTGTGAATCTGAGTCCCATTTTGGAATCACAGAATTCTTTAGAGCAAGGCCAAAGTTACTTTTTAAATAGAAGACATTCATTTCAGTCTGAATTGTGATGCCGTTACTGCCACATTCCTACAGTTTTGGAAAGAGTACAGTGGTCTTTGGTTTTCTTTCATTCAGTAATCCCTCCAATTCACTGAGAGTCTGTTATAAACCAGGTATTTTACATAACATTTTCTTCAGCCCTCAAACAACCCTGTAAGGTAGCTGTCATCCTCCCTAGTACAGAGATGAGAGAATTGAAGTTCAGAGATGTTAAGTCACCAGCTTAATGTCACACAGCTAACAAGTAGCAGAGCCGAGATTCAGTCATTGATATTGAGGCTCCAGGTCTCGTGTGCTTCCCGCTGTATCATGCTGCCTCCTTGGCCGTTCATCGCCAGCCCTTCCTCCCCACTCCAGCCCATTTTTCTCTCACATATTTCACCATGGGTCACTCTTCCATCCACTTACCTGATCTCTCATTCATTTGAGTACATGTTTGTCTTTGAGTGTGACTCTGTGTGTGTGTGTGTGTGTGTGTGTGTATTTCAAGCAGCCAGCCCCATTTCCTCCCTCTTCCTTCTCATAGACAGACTCACTCAAACATTTTGGCCTCTTACCTAGAATGTCCTCATAGACGTTCTCCTCCGATAAAGTGCGCGTGAGCCCCAGCTTAGTCTGTGCGTACCAGTCCACCCTGCTGTTCTCAGAGGAAGACTGCAGTAAGTCTTCAAACTCATAGGACTTTCTGGGTTGTACAAGGTGGGAAGAAAAAAAACCGAGAACTCAAATCAAATTAGGCTGGTTCAGAGAATACATGCCAAAATGTTTTTTTTTTTCTTGCAAAGATTTCCAATGTTGAAATCAACTCTGTGTTTTATAAGAAAGTGTGAAAATCCTCAACTATGAGATGTGGTTTTTACTTGTGAGAATGTTTATGCTACTTTGCCAGCTAAAGATAGTAAAGTATACAATCCAATCCCAACTTTGTACGCAAACACATACACAGAAGATAAAAAGAAGAGAAGTGAAACATAGCTGCTATCTCAGGACGGAGGGATGACTGGTGTCTTCTCTTCACTTTTGCTTTTCTGGATTTTTCAAATGTTCTAGTGTTTACAGAGCACACATGAATAAACACAAAGGAGTAGTAATGGCCAATTCAGAGCAGACAAGAAGCCTGAGCACCTCCCCCTTCTCTCACCCAAGTGGTTATCAGAAACCCAAGGGCCAGTTGAGGCACCCCACCCCACCCTGAGACTGTGCAAATGTGCCCGGAGCTCTGTCTGGGGCCTGGCTCACCGCCACCCTCCCCCCCATCTTACATCCACACGGGCTGTCCCTGTTCTGCTGGTATTGACTCTGCTGTGAAATCTAGCCCCTTCTCCAGCTCACACACACACACACACACACACACACACACACACACACGGCCAGTCACCTTGAGTTTCTATGATCTTTTGTAACTCTATGGAACACCTGGGAGATCATGAGGTGGGTCATATTATGAAACATACAAAACGTCACCCATCTCACAGGTTCACTCCACCTCCCCCTTTTTTCTTCTCTCTCTCTCTATCCTTCTCCAAAGTAACCCACAACTTCTCCCTGTTGGAGCAGAACAGTCCTGCCCACTCAGGCTCCAGAGGCTCACCTTCTCCTGGCCCCAAGCAGATTTATCAGGAATTTCTGCTGAACACACCTGGGCCTTCTGTGAATGGAATTTAGGTGAACATGCAGTCCACCCATGTTAAACAGGGCACATCCCTGAGCTGACTTGGTCCTGGCCCCTCACTCCTTCTGGTACAGGGTCCAGATGCTCACAACCCTCCTCTGGCTCAGGAATCACCGCTCTTCTCTCTCACTGTGCTCACATGTGTCTAGTACAGTGTTCTGCGCATGCCAGATGGCACACTGCAGCTAACTGCTGTGAAATGCAGAGCGTCCTTGTTTCCTCACCCACACTTCCAGCACACTGCAGCTAACTGCTGTGAAATGCAGAGCGTCCTTGTTTCCTCACCCACACTTCCAGCCCCGGGAGAAAGTGCCCCTCTGGTGGCTCTAGGATTAAACAAATCTGGACACAGATCCCGAATCCCTCATTCACAAGTCTTTTCAACTTGGATAAACTACCTGAGCTCAAACTCAGTGTCCTGATTTGTAAAAATAGTAATTATCTCATAGGACTGTCCATAGAACAGAGGACGTTTGTAAAGTCCTTGGCACCTAATAAGCCCTCAACAAATGTTAGCTATTATTATCTGTCGTGGTGCTATTAGTTATTTATGCAGCCAGGGCTTTATATGAACATTTACTGTGTGGGAGGCACTGTGCTCAGGGTTTGAAAAATAAGGACTAAAACAGCCAGAGTCCCTGCCTCAAAGAGCTTACATTCTAGAGAGGAAGACAATGTTTAACCAGCTCACACACAGATAAACAGAATTATAAACTGGGTTAAGTTCAGTGATGGAAAAGCACAGGGTGCGAGGATATCGAGGAAGGCTCAATGTAGGTTGTGGGATGCATCAAGGGAGGCCTCTATGAGAAAGTCACTCATTGAAGCTGAGCCTTGAAGGATAAAAAGAACTTAGTTGGGCGAAGAGCATTCCAAAAAGAGGGAAAAGCATGTGGGAAAGTCCTGAGTCTACAGAGAGAGCTCGGTGCATTTCAGGAAACGGCAGACAGACGGACAGCATGGCTGGGCTGCAGGGAACAGGGTGGAGAGTGCCAGGCAATGAGACAGCAGAACCAGGCAGAGGCCATCTGCCTGCTTTCCAAGCTTTGGGGATTTCTTGCATTTGAAATCTTTCCCTCTCCACTAGCTTCTTTCTCTCCTTCTTTAACATGCACAGGTTTCCTCTATCTTAAAAAGCTTTCATTTGGAGCAATGACTTTTGTGGTTCTGCTATTTCTCACCTTCCTTGTCAAAAAATTTTTTTTTTTTTTTTTTTTTTGTGGTACGTGGGCCTCTCACTGCCGCAGCCTCTCCCATTGCAGAGCACAGGCTCCGGACGCGCAGGCTCAGCGGCCATGGCTCACGGGCCTAGCCGCTCCGCGGCATGTGGGATCTTCCCGGACCGGGGCACGAACCCGTGCCCCCTGCAACGGCAGGCGGACTCCCAACCACTGCGCCACCAAGGAAGCCCTTGCCAACATTTTTAACTAAGGGGAGGGGAGGAGGAGCAGAGATTATTCTCTTAGTTTACCACAGTTCACTCGTTTTCCTTTCCCTTACCCTCTCAACCTGTCCGTGTGCATCCCTTTCCTGAAATTCCTCTCTTAGTTTACCACAGTTCACTAGTTTTTCTTTCCCTTACCCTCTCAACCTGTCCATGTGCATCCCTTTCCTGAAATTCCTCCTAAAGGTCACTAGTGAGTTTCTGGTAGAACCTAACAACTTTCTCGGTCCTTTCATTACGTGACACCACTTGGTTTCTACAGCATAAGGTAGCAGTGCTCAAAGTGCAATCTGTGGGCCAAAGCTGGGTTGCCAACTGTTTCCGGTCCTTGACAAGATAAGTACAGAAATTGAGAGAAAGCGTTTAGGAACTTTTCAAACAATTTGACAGAATGAACTTAAAAAAAAACACAAAAAAACTGAGGTTTGTATACTGACGTCTTTTTTCATTACATTCCTCTGGTAATTCTTTTTTTTATTATATTTTACAGAAGTATCTTTTGGCAAAGGGTTGGAAACACCTGCAAACTGGCCCCCCTGATGGTTTGAGGAGGCGGGTACAGAGCTGCCCTAACTCTACTTGCCCTGTCAGACCACTCTTCCTGGGCTTGCACTGGCAGCTCTCTACCTCTTCCTCTTTCTGGGCTATAGGTATTTCCCAAAGCTTCTCCTCTTTAGGCTTCATACTTTTTTTTTTTTTGGCTGCACTGCACAGCTTGCGGGATCTTAGTTCCCCAACCCGGGATTGAACCTGGGCCCACAGCAGTGAAAGTGCCGAGTCCTAACCACTGGACAACTGGGGAATTCATTAGGTTCTATACTTTAATATCTACACAACTGAATTCATCACCCCTTATCTCCACCCCACCCTCATTCCTTTATGAACTTGAACGCGGCACTTAGGACAGGAGCACAAAGATGGGCTTCTAGGCTGGAGCTCTATGGCCTTAAGTCAGGTCACAAGGCTGAAACCGTCACCAGTGCCCCAGGGTTCTGACTTATGAAAAGAAGTTTGTGCCCCAAAAAATGGATACTAATCCATGAGCCCCTTCTTTCTCCCCTTGAGGTGTCCAGCGGGGAGAGGAAGGACTGAGCTTCAGAGCTCTCGCAGATGGGACCTGGGGGAAAGCAGGTCCTGAGCCATTTTCTCTAAGATGGGAATGGGTTGTGCTGTGACCCCACTCTGAACATTTCCTAGTCCAATTTCCATTAGCCCAGGCTGGCATCAGCCAGGCAGCTGATTGGGGCTGGAGGTGTGGCCCAGAACTCCTGGGTTTCCCCTGCTGAGCAAACCAAGTTACGTTAGCTAGTCCTCAGCATGTACGCTCCGTGCTAGGGAAAGTGCAAGCTGTTCAGAGACCACAGAATCATTCATTCAGTACTTACTGTGTACTGACCAAGTGCTTGTCTTGGATCAGCACATTCAAACTTTACAACAACCTTGTGAAAGATTACTATTATTATACACATGTTATGCATGAGAAAACAGGTATAGAGACATAAGGTAAATTGCTCAAAGTCACTTTGGGAGAACCCAGGAAATCTGGTTGGAGATTGGTGCTCTTAAAAAGACAGGCACTGGACTTCCCTGGTGGCACAGTGGTTAAGAATCCGCCTGCCAATGCAGGGGACACAGGTTCAAGCCTTGGGCGGGGAAGATCCCACACGCTGCGGAGCAACTAAGCCCGTGCTCCACAACTACTGAGCCTGCGCTCTAGAACCCACGAGCCACAACTACTGAGCTTGCGAGCCACAACTACTGAAGCCCATGTGCCTAGAGCCCGTGCTCTGCAACAAGAGAAGCCACCGCAATGAGAAGCCCATGCACTGCAACTAGAGAAAGCCCATGCTCAGCAAGGAAGACCCAACACAGCCAAAAATACATAAATTAAAAAAAAAACAAAAAGACATGCATTATGCAGAGCACGCAAGTAAGGCAAGGCAGGAGGAAAGCTGCAGTCACAGTCACCAGATTAAATCAGGTCGAGTTTCCAAAGTTTATTGTTAGGAACTTGAACTATTTTTTTGTTTTTTATTTGGCTGTGCGGCTTGTGGGATCTTAGTTCCCCAACCAGGGACTGAACCAGGGGCCCTCGGCAGTGAGAGCACGGAGTCCTAACCACTGGACCACCAGGGAATTCCCAAACTAATTTCCTCTATAAAACCATATTACACATTACTGAGCATTGCCCAGGCAAGCCCTCTATTTCCCATAATGTAACTAAACTATACGATGAAGAGATGCTATGAACCCTCACAGGGAAAAGAGAGGACAGGTGGGGAGTCACTTCACTGGGAGCTGAGCAGTTTCTGCCACAATAGCAGGAAGCTCCACTCCCAGCAGCAGAGGGAGAGGGTGGTGGCCACTGCCTACAGCTAAAGCCTTGACTGCCTGGGATTCCAGCATGATGTTGGCTAAGGTGGCCCTTTTCTTTGATTGCAGAAAGGGGCTGCAGCTGTGCCTTGCTTTGCCACGGAGAGAGCTCTATCGTTATTTATTTATTATAAATTTATTTATTTATTTTTGGCTGCGTTGGGTCTTCATTGCTGAGCGCATGCTTTTTCTAGTT